TTTGAATTAAATAAAAATCTTTTGAACTTTTAACAGAGTGTTTTATTGTTAGTCTGAATATTTTTTATTTTACATATATATTATCTGGGCGCTCTTACACTGACTTGACAGGTGGACGTGCCGTTTTAATTAAAGGCTCTAATCTTTTTGAAGTTTTTCAATCCATGCTTCTTTGATGAAAGTATTCTGTATTTAGTAGGATACAATCTAAAAATGATAATTTCTTTGTCACCCTGTCTTTGGCGCAAGTATATAGGTACGTATCCAACAATTCTGTCAGTTATAAACCGATTTGGAAAATTTTTTTTTTATTTGAGAATACTTCGAGATAGATTTCATAGAAATTTTTACAAAATCGATTCAGTAGTTTGGTTATTAAATCAAAGGGGTTTTGCTAGTAGTTACCATGCTTGGCAAGCGGATTGGCAACCGCAGTTAGGCCTTTGATGTTTTAAAAGAGCTGCTACCCAATCCTCGACCATGAGTTCGATCTAACGTCTATAAATCGCCTGTAACGGCACCCACGGGAAAGAAAAGGATGGCCTATCCTGTGCCGAGACCTATACGACTAATACATTGGATTACTATATTAAATAACTATTATACATTAATACATTGGTTTTTAACGGACATTATTATGGCTGTTGGATATAGTTCATTCATATGGCAACCCTACGTTGACAGCGCTGTGTCAACGTTAAATGAAGATCATTGATTATCCAGTTTGTTTTATGTGCTTAAAAATGAAAACCAAACATTACATCATATATTTTTTTATTGTCCGCAATTTAAGTTGAACAGAATTTCTTCTCATTACAAAATTTCAAGAAATATATCAGACTATCCCGCCATCTTTTCAAGATATCCTGTTTTTAAATATCTTACTGCAACTATCGGAGCATTATAAAAGATGACATCTCCATACATTATTTATTCTAAAATTTAAGACTTATGACTTGTAGTCATAGCAAAGAATTCTGAAGAAGATATGGCATCTCTGTTTTATTAAAACATGGAAATACATTCTACTGAAGATCAGGCTGTACGGCTTAGTTCCTTTGCCTTTCCCATTGTGGATAAACTAATACTATTACTCTATGAGTTGATGTTTCCCGTTCTGTTAAGTTTTTTCTTTTTAGAATATGCAATTGCTTTCGCGCCATTGTTTGCAATTTATATTAAATAATTGTGTTAATCTTAATATATATTAATGTGTAGTGTATTAATACTCGTTAGTTTTATACTAGGTGCTTGTATTATTTGTTTGTTTCCTAAGATTGATGTCAAGTTATTATGTAGTATGTTATACTAATAATATAAAGCTCTATGGTGTGTATTTACCAACTCTCTGTATGTGTCTGAGACAGGAGCGCTTACTCAGTGAGTGCTCGGGGGCTCTAGCATCCACGAGAGGTAAATAGTGGGTGCGGAGCATCTAAGACGCTAGACATAATAATATAACTAAAATAATTCTTATCTCATTTTCTGTTGTTTAGGTCACGTTTGCTTGCACAGTAAGCAGTGTCCGTCTTTAAAGTGAAATAATAATTATGAAGTTAGTTACTAAAAAAGCACCAACAAGGTTTATTCACAATGTTAATTTTTTTTGTCACTATACGGGTTTTATAAACTAAATATAAACCGTATTAAATTAAAATGTACTTGTAGACACATAATTCCATGTTTTAAACTAAAACATTTTAGATATAATGTGTCTACAAAATGTGTCATTGTTTGTTGGTGCATTTTATACACTTTAAAATAATAATAGTAAGCCAACCGACTGCAAAAGAAGGAGGTTCTAAATTCGACTGTATATTTTGTTATATTTATTATCTCATAACTCCGTCAGTTATAAACCGATTTGGCAAATTCTTTTTTTTATCTGAAAGAATATACTTACCATTGAAAATTTTTATCAAAATCAATTTAGTCGTTTAATTTGTAGATCAAAATAACTAGCTTTACCACAACTTAAGTATTTTTTTTTGTGGAATACAATTTTATATTATAATAGTAGTAATCACGTCCTATAGAAGTCTACCAACGTCCGATACATCGTTATAACATTTCCGTCAAACAATCTTGTTAGGACATTTGTCCTAATATCTGACGTCTCACTGAAAGCTTGTAACCTCGGGACACGAAACAACTCGCTAACTCGACACAAAAGTTCAGTTCGTTTTATGATACCATTGACCTATTTATTTATGAGACCACCTCTTTTATTGCGGTTCATCGGAAGAGAAATACTTTATCTATATGGAAAATGTATTATTGCCTTAGTAACCTCGATATATAAATTATTCTGGAATACCGCATCGTTCTTTTATTGCCATTTAAGTTTGCTATCAATAACATCAATGGGTCAAATTGATTTAGGTATTCTTATTGTAAAATAATAAATGATCGTTTTATTGTAGGCAATTCAAAAATTGTGGCAATTTTAATATATTAATGTTACTTATAAATTTATTACACATATGTTTTTGATATTTAATATGGACATATAAAATGGATTCTAAGAAGAGGGATTCACTAAAGATGTGAATCGGGTGCAATGTAGGGGTTAACTTTTTTTTTACGTATTACAATTTTACATCAAATCCATTCTACGTTGTGAAACTAATAAGAGTCACTGGACAATAAATTATAAATACTGTCGCAACAACTACTGGATAAAGTTTGATGTTAACCTTATATTATAATATATATAGGATAGACAGAAAAAAACACTCCATTTTCGTTCATTGAAAATAGGACACTTTTTACTGTGGCAAAATTGTTTTCTTGCCATATCAAGCTATAAAAATATGCTACGCGGACGCTGTTGGGAACACAGTTATTTTGAGCCTAATATGAGGTTAAAAGAAATTAATTACTGCAGCTTGTATTTTAATACTCAAGTATCTAAAATTATATACTTACAGAGTTTTTAATAGATTATTAATAGTAACTAATCTACACACGTAGGCGTCTGTTACTTTGCTTTGTCTAGTCTAGTGTAAAATGATGTTATATTGCAGCTTCACTACAAGCTTATTTGTTAGATCTAACTAAATAAAAATACACAATAAGCAGTAAGCTTTAGATTGTTTGCTATATCATAAGTTTAATTAGCTACTATAGACCGGTAGGCACGATGCCTTACAAATATCAATACAGAAACAATTTCTACAATTCTTAACGCTTCAGTCTTAGTTTTATAGTACAATAAGTCTTATTGTTATAAGTATAGGATACAGTATCGATTATCCGGGACAACGAAAGCTCGTTTGGCATTGCGCGATGTCTCATTTTCTCGGCTCGGTCGGTGGCCAGATTGTCTTCTAGTATATAAATAAAGGTCGTTTGCTTCACTAAGACTGAAGTGTTAATGATAAAAAAATTAGAATGTATTACATTTTGTATAGACTTTCAGGTCCGGCGTTGGTTAAGCTATATTTTTAGACATGTGTCATTACTATTATCAGTGCTCGGTACCTGTAAGCTATAATAAGTCTCCGTTTTATTCTAATGTGAATCATATGATTCAGACAGTATTTTCTTAAGTATGATATCCTTTCGTAAGGATAATATACTATTTTATAGGTTAGTATTACGCAACTATATTATATTTTTCTATTCGTAAGCTTATTTTGCATGAAAACCCTTTTATTATTTGCAGCACTAGCGCATATCGTGTGTTGCCTTCGTTTTTACTTAGATTACTAGATTTTTTTTAAATTAAATGTATTAATTCTATTACATAAAATTAGTTTTACTATTAATACTTCTAGTATTTTCTAGTACGTAAAAAAATACTAGTGGTTTTGTATATAAATAATTTCAATATTTCTTTTTAGGTTCATTTTCAAAGTTTTATTAACACGTTTTCTTTTAATTGTATTGTTTGGGTTTTAATTTAATATTGAGCAGTTTAATAATGGCCCTATTAAGATAATAAGATTGTTATTAAAAAGATTTTGACACCGAAAGGAAATTGCGAATATGTTGATGAGTTATCGCATATTTTCATTAGGCGGTCGCTTCGACTATCAGAACATGATTGTACTATATTGTAAGTTCTAATTAATGCACGCCGACTCTATCATATTTCTTAATAAAGTCGTCAGCGATATTATTATTCACAAACGAATAATTATGATAAAATGTTAAATCTGTTTAGTGATGCCACGACTAATCTATTTGGTTAACAAACGTTGAATATTCAATCCTACTCAAGCTGAATGTTCCTACTAATTCTATACGAAGGCAACGGTGAAGCATTAGTTCTAAATCTAGCGATTCAATAAAGCGCTGGCATATTCTGGATTCTGAGCTTTTGTCTGCGACTTATCGTTTCACTGAGTATCCAGTCATACAATCTGACTCACATCTGCCTTCTTTTGTTTTTCATTTTTATCAAGATTTCGGCCTGCAAATATATTGCTAGGTTAGATAATTATGTTTTATTTTTTAATATCCTTTTGATTTTATGATTTTGAATTACGCGTGAATTTAACATGTACAATGAAAAAGTAAAAAAAAAAAAGAATGTGTTGATTTAAATCGGTCAAATTTACGGAATGCGACTATACTGTTGATTGAATATATATATATATATATATATATATATATATATATATATATATATATATATATATTTTAATTATAATTATCTCGAGATCTGAAATAATTTTTTTTTTCTTTCTCTGCCTTATACAGAGCGAGTCACTCTACATTTTATAAGTCGATCTGAGCAACTAAACTAAAATGTAGAGACTATTTTCTTTTACGTTTCGAGATGGTTGCTATACAAAAAGTTGTTCCTAAAATTAATAGTACAGCAACTGAATTAATATAAATTTGACGATTATGTAAATCAACACATTATTAAAAAGAAAATAATAATGCAATGTTATTTAGCGCTTTAAAATATTATCAAATTGTTCAGAAATCCAGAATAAACTCAGTGGTCCTACTAAACACAAATATTTCTCACAAAATCACCAACTTACTCTCAGGTTTAAACGTCACTCGGTCTGAAATAATAAAATATGACATTAATCCCGCGTCTCCAGTATTCTCTCTCCATAAAAGTTATCTTCAGTACCTACAGCTGCCATTTGCAGGGAAATAACTTTACATCAGGTAATAAAATCAGCTTTATGCTGCATTAAAACTGAATAATGCACTAAAACAATATCTATATTAAATATTTTTCTAATAAACATCATGACAACAGTTAAGAAACAGTGCAAAAATTCTTTTTCCTGATTTATAGATCGTTTTATATTAAAAATGGAATTCTAATTTTAAATAAGTTATAAATATCACTAATAATTGTACTTCATTAGATATTTTATTTGTGTGACTACAATTTTTTTTTTCTTTTTAAATTAGGTAATAACAGCAAAGTTATATACTATAAAAATCTTAACCGTAGTTTCTACATCAAGAATACCATAGACTAACAATGGACATTACATATGGGGAATTTTATCCCCAATATTATTGGGTATTCTGTAATCGTCTATAGTATCACTTATGTGTTGCCACTCCTGTAATTTTATGTTTCTCGTATCAGTAATTACATTGAACATATTTTAGAATCAAAATTGAGTCTATATAAGACCATTATGCTGTTTCAAGTGCTATAATAGCGCTGTAGAAGAGGACAATAAATATAATGGCTGAATCTGTGCACCCATTAACTTGTAACCGGGATACTACCTACTGCAGTTTATATCCATTTAACGACATGCTATATAAAGATAATAAAATGACTGCAATGAGGAACACCATCAAAAACCTATAACTACTGTTGTCTATGCTATTTACCTTTACAAACTGTATCTATCTATCTACTTATGTTACGAGAAACAATGTAAATTTAAAAAGAATAAGTTAAATATTTTCACGTACTTTTTCTCAAGTATAATATTTACATCAAATAAATTTGAATTAAGAATATGCATAAACATGTTCTAGAAGGTTCTAGTATAAAATAAATATTTATTATTAAATAGTAAAAATATGTATTAAGTGTATTTATATTTTAATCGAATATTACTTTTAGTGTTAATTTTTCGTCGCTCTTCACATTCTACATTCGTTTCTCGTATATTTAATAAAGTAATACTATATTTATATTTATATAATAATTAATATTAATCATTATAATTAGAAATAAAAAGGAAAAGTAAAAAGTAGGGAGAATTATATCCTTAAAGATATTGTACTTACGTATTACTTCGGCAGATGTTAATTATCCAAATGATTCTAGAGTGGCTAAAGTTACAGCATAGCTTATGTGTATATAAGCTAGGTAAGCTGCAAGTTTGACTATAAACATCGTAGTTGCTAATGCCGTATCTCGTACTCGTATTTACCTACTTTGAAAGCTCAATACAATTTCTTGCGTATCAAATATCTACCTACTCGAAAAGAGCACATGATTTCTTTTGAATATCGTATTTTATTGAGGAAGACTTATTGATTTCAAGTATGCTTTGTTTGGATTTTTCTTTATGTGTATACTGTTTCAAGCTTTTGTTAAATAATTATATAATTGCAAACAAGAAATAGAAGAGAATATTTTGAAATTGAGTGTTGTAAAATATTTTCTTAGTAAAACAATATTTTTTTAATTAATTTACTGATAATATGCTTAAGTAGTCTTAAAAGTGTAGCGTTGTTTACAGTATTTTTATTTGCATTGTTTCTTATGAGTAGACTACAGATAAAACATTATCCTAGATGAAAAAAAAAGAAACAAAAAATAAATTATATACAAGGATAATGATAGAAGATTACATATTACATACTACACGTATAGGAATATGTTAAAAATTAAATTTGAAAATAGATATTTCTTAATTCTTGTTCTACCTATCTATATTATATGTATTGAACAATAAAACTGTAAGATGTAAATCTACACAAATAACACTATCTAGTGCATTTGATCTGGATCGCACTGGATTTTCTTTGCCGATAGAAAAGGATTGATAAGATCCAAATAGAATACTTCTACTTATCTAGTCACTCTATCAGAACGTATGGCTCGAGCTACTTAGATATTACATTAATATATAAAAGTCCTGTGTCGTGGTGTTCTTCACGCTAATCTCTAAAACCGCTCAATCGATTTTAATGAAGTTTTGCAAATGTGTATCGTTTGCTTCTACTTGAGAAATAGGCTAGTTTTTATTCCGATAAGAAAAAATGGACCCCGTAGGTTTTACAAATATAAAAAATATTTACAAGCAATACACATATTTTAATTTAGGATCGGGACTTAATGCGATGCTATATATAAAATATTTATGAATAACGTGAAATTAAATTAATTAACAGAATTAATACATTTATAATACTTTAATTAAATATATATTACATGCATATTTATCTATATATCTTTTGGTTTGGGTACTGGGCATACAATAACTTGTAATAGAGATAGGGATTTCCAAATTTAAATAATGTTTGAAATAATCATGTGCTCATTTCAATTAGGAATATTAATACTTTTTGGGTAATTTAATATTTAGGTAACTTTTTATATAAGTTTTTATTACAATGTTGGCAACTGTAAATATGTCTAAAAATAATAATTACAGTAGTTATATATATTTTTCTTAGATTGATTTGTTTCTAAAACTTATCAATCTTACTTACCTATTTGTAGAGCAGGTCCAAGAAATACATGAAACAAAAAACAAATCGATTAGAAAATATTTATAGATTTACTAAAATTAATAACTATCGTATTACATTATCTAAAAATACAAAAACATATGGAACGTATAAGTATATATACTTAAAACTATTTTTTTTATTTATTCAAAGAAGATTATTTTTTGAGCAGAGAGTATATATAATATGGATGTTCATGCATTTAATATAATGAATTAATACTAACAACTATTTAATAAATTCTCTAAAATGAATAGGTATTTACCTTGTTTATTGTAAAAATAATCATTAAAATTCCCTAAGATATCGCGTAACATAAAAATACCTTGAATTAAGACCCTTCTCTTTTTTGAGTTACTTAAAAAATAAGCTTGAAATTTATAAAGTCTGTTAAACGACACCTCTTGTGCCAGCGTTTCAAAGATATTTTGTTTAAAAATTCAAGCTAAGTGCAAGTGCTGTGAAATCTTGGGTCGAAAAATATTTATTGCGTCGTCATAAATTTAATATGGTGGAAATTTAGGGAGTGTACCTTTTTTTAAAATTTAATTTAAAACTAGTCTTTTGCTCGCTACTTTGTACGCGTAGAATATCAGAAGAAGTAAAACCAATGAAATACACAACTTTTAGACGGCGTGTCAAGATAAATAATATACTATTATTTAAGTTAGACATTCAAAAGTATAACTACGAAAACCACATTCAATTTGGTGCAGTAATTTTTGTACGATGTTGGATCAAACATATACAGATTAACAAAATTCCTAAAAATTATTATTTTAAACTATTACTTTAAGTTACCTCATATTAATTTTTCTTAAATAATTCACATGTAACAAATATTTTATAGTTACAGTTTTATTATATTATTTATTTATTTATACTTTATTGTACACGCTAATAATACATAAAAATAATACAGTAGTAAGCAAATGTAGAAAGGCGAGCTTAACTACATATAAAAGATTTCCCTTCCAGGAATAGAAGGAACATCAATGTCAGCGAGTAGAGCGTTGTATACTATTGCGACAATTTTCAAACAAAAAGAACTAAACAAACTTAATTTTTTTTTTGAAACTTAGAATAGCAAACAAGCTGACGGCCCACCTGATAGAACGTGGTAACCGTCGCCTGTAGACACGAGTAGTACCATGGACATAACAGAGTACACTGTTTCGCCCATGATACCCATCATACTTTGTTATGTCCATGGTTGCCTGCGTTGCCATTCCTGAGGACTCAGGTGTCATTCCTCTATACCCCGTAAATTCACTATCGTATCCCACCCTTCAAACCGAAACACAACCATGCAAACACAACTATTTCACGGTAGAAACACGAATGGGACAGAGGTGCTCAAACAAACGACTTTTGTACAAAGTCTCCCTGTGGTAAGTTTACTTATATGATATAATTAGTATTATATATAAAACCAATTATATCTTATTAGTAAAATAAAATATACTTTTGCTCACTTTATATCCAAATTAAGTATCGAATTAAAAACATAAGTTGAGAAAATTTTAGCCTATCGTTACCGTAAAAAAAAAAAAAAAAAACTATATACACAGGTACCAGTAATTACATAAGTAAATCGATAATTCATTTAAAATTATTAAGGCACCTAAATTATATTCAGTCACCTTTCTATAATTTTCATTAAATTTGAATCCTTGAAATTTGATCTCCTTATTTTATCCCGCGCATGGCGCGTCGCGGTGGCGCCAATAACCCCCCTTTGCTCCTCCCTATAGAACCGGTACAAGTGATAAGCTTATAGCGACTTACTAAAACACTAAGAGATCGTATCTATACTTGTTTTTATTCTCTATTTAGTGAATTACTAACATTTTAAGGTGCTATTATGGGCATATTTTTTTTCAAATTAGAAGACGATATTTAGCCTATCTTCAAACGACTTCAAAAAGAGGGAATTAATCAATTCGATCGTATTTTTTAATGTTTGTTACCTTATAACTCCGGTAGTTCTAAACCGATTTGGAAAATTGTTTTATTTTATCTGAAAGGGTACATTTACAGTGGAATTTTATAAAATCAGTTTAGTAATTCAGTTTTTAGATCAAAATATCTGGTTTCAAAATAACAAAATGACTGATTTTACAATTGAAGTTGGTTTTTACGGGACACAATATTTAATTATTTTCTATTTTTTTAATGATAAAATGGAAAAGGAACGCCGACTGCGCTATCTATTTTTTTTTATACAACTTAGAATGGCACACAAGCTGACGGCTCACCTGATGGAAACTGGTAACGGTCACCTATAGACATGAGCAGTACTATGGACATAACAGAGTATACTGTTTCGCCCATGATACCCCCC